ATCCCCGGCACCCCATAGGGTCCCCCAAGCCTGATCAGGAATGATCCCTCAGCCCTGTGTTAACCAGGTGTAGCCAAAAAAATAATATAAATAAAAAGTTTTTGGTTTTGGGCCCCACCTAGCCCCGCCCTCAATGAGCTTGGGGATCGAACCCTGATAGGCTGGGATAGGTTGGGTGCAGGGCAAGTGCCTTATCCACTGTACTATCTCTCTGACCCCTGAAATAAATTTTGAAATGTTGAAGTTCCTGAGCACTGTCAAATGTCCTCACAGAGGTGCACAGCTGGCCTGGCTGTGAAGGGACTGATTTAGCCACCAGGAAATGACAAGGCAAAGGCGCTATTTCCTCTGAGCATGTTCTTGCTGATGAAAACTCGCCCCCAAAGGCGCCAGTTGAAAATGGTAAGTCAGGGAGGTTCCCAGCTGGAGCACTGGCACTTGGAGATGCAGAGTCCTGGCCTGGCGGGACAGTGTCACAGGCTAGAACATGTTTTGCTGGCAGAAAGAAGCCTTGGGTTGTTCGATTTGGGGATTTATTGTGGGGCTGGGGTGATTCCTAATGTGCTGAGGGGTTATTCCCAGTTCTGTGCTCAGGAGCGACGCCTGGTGATACTCAAAGGACCATATGTGGTGGCAGGGATTGAACCGGGGTGGGCCACATGTCTGGCAAGTGACTTACCCGCTGTCCTATTTCTCTGGTCCATGCACTGTTTATCTATATCCCTATAATTCACTTAGCAAACTGGGCCCTGTATGCATTGTAAAGAGCAAGCTTCCCTTCTTTGTGCCTGAGTAATATTCCAGTAGGTGGGCGTGTCTTGCCTGTTGATGGACAGATTCTTCCACATCTCAGCTTTCTTTGTTTTTTGTGTGGGTCACCCTTTTGGCCCATCTTTTTAATTGTTTTTTGTGTGACTTCTGTTCGGGGCCAAACTCAGCAGTGCTCAGGGTTTATGCCTGCCACCGCGCTCAGAGATCACTCCTCCTGGTGGGGCTCATGGGACCATATGGGGTGCTGAGGATGGAACCCAGGGTTGGCGGCATGCCAGACAAATGCCCATCCCAGGCACTATCTTGCCAGCTTCCCAAGCTCAACTTCTGTCAACAATTCTGCAATGGATGTAGCAGGAGCTGGGAGCGAGCAGAGGTCAGGTGCTTGCTTTGGAGGCACCTGGCCTCCCACTCAATCCCAAGACAGGAAATGATCCCCTGAGCACCACCAGAGGTCACTCCTGACCACGGAGCCAGGAAAAGTGTGGTTCGAACCTGCACTGCCACCAATAAAACAGCAAACTGAATATTGCGACCTTGTCTGCCAGACACTCCTTGTTACTTCCTTCGGATAAATGCCCAGAAGGAGTATCATGAGACTGTTCTATTTTGAACCTTTTGAGGAACCTCCACGCTAGTGTCCAGTGAGCCTGGGCCGACTCAACATCTCACGGGCTACGCATGAACGCAGGGAGAAGAGGGCAAGAGGGAGAGGATAGGACAGTGGGGAGGGAGCTGGCCTTGCATGTGGCGGACATGGGTTCAATCCCAGCATCCCAGAGGGTCCCCTAAGCACCGCCATGAGTGATGCCTGAGCACACAGCCAGGAGTACGTCCTGAGCCCTACCATGTGTGGCCCAAAAATACAAAACGGGAGAAGAAACTTCTGAAAGCTTTGGAGTAGGCGGCAGCTCACCAGGCCTCATCACTGTCCATCCATCCCAGACTTTGTGTCCACCGCCACTTCTCTGGATAAACGGCCCCTTCTCAGCCCACTGGGTTCATTTTCCATTTCCCCCAAATCAGAAGAGTCTTCTTTAACCCTCGCTGGCCCTTCTTTTACCTTGGTGAGTCAGATCCAGCATCTCTATAATGAGTCCAGTCTCTGCTCCTCACCGGTTCCCAAGCCTTCCCATTAACCAAATTTCCTAGTCAGGAGTAAAACACAGGATTGGGAGATGGCTGAAAGAGCTCTAGCATGTGCTGAGGTCCCGAGTTCGATTCCCGGCCCTGCAAAGGAGGCCCCCTGAGCAGCGCCAGAAGTGACGCAAGCTCAGAGCCATGAGTGGCCTCTGCAGTACTAGGTGTGGTTCTTCCTCCCCTCAAAAATGATAGAAAAAAATAGAAAAGCAGGTAGTGGTGGGGTGACCAGGGCCAATCCTGCTGAACAAGATGAAATCTGAATCATCTGTTTAAATAAATAGTTTTGTTTTGTTTTTTGCTTTTTGGGTCACACCCGGTGATGGACAGGGGTTACTCCAGGCTTTGCACTCAGCAATTACTCCTGGCAGTGCTCGGGGGACCATATGGGATGCTGGGAATTGAACCTGGGTCAGCCGTGGGCAAGGCAAATGTCCTACCCACTGTGCTATTGCTCCAGCCCCATAAATAGTTTTTTTTTTTTTAATCATGTTGGGGCTGGAGCAATAGTACAGTGGGTAGGACATTTGCCTTGCATGTGGCTGACCCGGGTTCGATTCCCAGCATCCCATATGGTCCCCCGAGCACTGCCAGGAGTAATTCCTGAGTGCAGAGCCAGGAGTCACCCTGTGCGTTGCCGGGTGTGACCCAAAAAGAAAAAAAAAGAAGAAGACCAAGCTAACAATAGTGCCGAGACTCATGAACTCGAAGGGTTCCCATGAGGCCCTTGAGTGAAGTCTGATCAAATAAAATGTTCCAAAGGAAACAAGGCAAGGGGGGGGGATTTGAACAGCAATTGTGTTTTCTGGTAAGGATCATCAAAATGACATCGTGGTGCCTTTGGCTGTCATTGTTTTGGGGCCCCACCCCACAATGCTCAGGGCTTACTTCTGGCCCTGCGCCCAGGAATTCCTTCTGGCAGTGCTCGGGGGACCCTGTGGGATGGCAGGGATGGGACCAGCGTTAGTCGCCAGAGCTCTCCCTGCTGTACTATTGCTTTGGCCCCTGACATTTTATTATTTTATTATTTTTGTTTCTTTTTGGGTCACACCCAGTGATGCACAGGAATTACTCCTGGCAGTGTTCAGGGGACCATGTGGGATGCTGGGAATCGAACCCATGTTGGCTGCATGCAAGGCAAATGCCCTACCCGCTGTGCTATCACTCCAGCCACTGACGTTTTATTTTAAAGATGAAAAAACAAATGGGGCCAGAGACAGGACAGCAGGCAGGACACTTGCCTTGCACGCAGCTGACATGGGCTGAACCCCTGGCACCCCGTCTGAGGTTCCCACATGTGGATCAGCAGCTCCAGACCTTTGAACCACCTCCCCAGCATGGGACGTGGATTTGGGATGGAGAAGGGGACCCATGACCAGCCAAGCTTGTTTGTTTGGGGGTCGCATTCTGCTGTCTCGAGGCACCACTCCAGGGGTGGGAGTGCCCAGGATTAAACGCAGCTGGGCACTGGCAAGCAAGAGCCTTTCCGAGCTCTGTCTCACCAGCCTGGCTTGTTTTTTGTTTTTTGCTTTGGTGGGGGCACCCCCCTCTCCTGAGGGTGCCCAGTGCCAGCAATATATTTAACCTGAAGGTTCAGGCCTCAGGCCCAGTGATGCTGGGGGCCCCTAGGGCCGCCCCTGCTGAGGCTGGGGGACCCATGGGTTGCTGGGGTTGAATCTGGGGCCTCCAGCCAGGGAGGCCCCAGGCCCTGGTTAATTATAGGTGCAGCCAGACAGTGCCGGCAGGGGAGGGCCAGCCAGGAAGGCTCTGCCATCCCTGCTCAGACAGTTCTGGGCTGAGGAAAGATGCTGGGAAGATTGGCGAAGGGATTAGGAAACCCCAGCCCCAGTCCCTGGGGCACCCCAGCTGAGGGGGGCACGGTGGGGTTCACTGCATAGACAATAGCCATTGGAAGAGAATGACACCATTTATTAGCCAGGAACTGGCTCTTCGGCCTGGAGAGGGCTCCGGGAAGGAAGTGAGCCCCCCACCCGAGCCCCCCTTCTCAATCACTTTGAGGGGTGAGGTGCTGAGCCGGGGTGGGCAATACTCAGCTCTCTGGCGGGGTGATGGGTCACTGGAAAGGGATTTCCCCCCCACCCCCAGCCCCCGCCGAACCTCCTTTGGCAATTTCCACACAGACAAAAGGAGTACAACAGCATCCGTTTTGGGGGTGCTGTTGGGGGTGTAGGGGCCGAATCCCAGACAACACCCGCACACATAGACTCACAGACACAGACACACATAAATAGTTGTTTGTACCGTACGTGGATCCACAGGACATCGCCCGGCGATGGATGGGGGCTTGGGGAGGCTGGGGGGCACCCCGCGAGTGTCCCCGATGTCCTCACCCCCATGCTTCATTTTCAATATAACTTGAAAGGAGGCACGTGGTGAGGGTGTAGGCTGCCTGCTGGGGGGAACCTGTCTGGGGGCAGCAGGACCGAGGAGCCTGGGGGTTGCTTTTGGGGGGCTTCCTATGTGACCAGCTCCCCTGACCCGACCCCCCACAAGAACTCTGTCAAGTTCCACCGGCTCCAGCAGGAGGCCTGAGCCCTCCCCAGCGGTGGGGACCGGTTTTTCCAGCCCTGGGTGATGCTTCTGTGCCCCAAATAGTGCAATTGGCCAATGAGGTCTGAGAACGGGGTTTGGCTCCCCCCTCCACACACCGCCCTGCGCCCTGCGGTTTGCCGGCAGCTGGTGGAGCAAGAGGAAAGGGAAGAAGACAGCCGATGACGGCTGGCGAAATGGAAGGGAAGCTGGGCACTGGGGCCCAGGAGCTGGGGGCTGGGGCTCAGGGGTGTGTCCGGTGCCCCAGGGAACTGTGGCTCCAGGGAAAGGGTGGCAAAGTTGCCGATTCCCAGAGGAGCTCGGGGCGCAGGACGGAGGGTGAAACGTGGCAGCGTGGCTTCACCCCCAGTGTCCCTCCTGACCACCCTCGCTCGCCCTTTGGTCCGGGTCCCCCCAGGGTCACCAGTGGTCCGGGTCCCCCCAGGGTCACCAGGACCCAGTTCTGGGGGCTCCCCCACCCCCAGGCCGCCCCTGAGCGGGCCAAGCTTCAGCCTGCTGACCCGGGTCCAAAGCATCTGAGCCGGGGGCGTGGCCACGGGAACGCGGCAGGCAAATGCCCGGGACCCCCTCAGACCACGGTGTTGTCCTCCAGCAGCGTGGGCGACGTGGGCATGTGCGTGCCCCTCTCCAGGGAGCTGGAGCTGCGCAGCGGGAGCAGCCGCTGGCCCGGGTTCCGCCCGCGCCGTCCCTGCGCCCCCACGGCGCGCGCCCAGCACCGCAGCGGCCGCAGCACCTCCCGCCGCAGGTCCCGGCTGCGCCACGTGTAGATGACGGGGTTGAGCAGCGAGTTGAGCGTGGCGAAGGCGAAGAAGTAGTGCGCCTTGTAGAGCACGGGGCAGGCGCGCACGGGGCAGGCGTAGTCCAGGAGCAGGATGCTGAAGGCCGGCAGCCAGCACACGATGAAGACGCCCAGCACGATGGTGACCGTCTTGAGCAGCGCCAGCGTCTGCGGGGCGGCCACGTCGGCGTGGCCGGAGCGCTCGGCATGGCTGGAGCGCACCACGCAGTAGATGCGCACGTACAGCGCCACGATGGCCAGCAGGATGACGGAGAAGATGCTGACGACGCAGAGCACGTACTGCTTGGCGTAGAGCGGCAGCACGGTGGAGCACGCCTGCAGGTGGCCCAGGCAGTTCCAGCCGAGGATGGGGAGCCCGCCCAGGGCCAGCGAGATGAGCCACGAGGCCCCGATGAGCAGGAGCATGCGGCAGCTCTTGTCGCTCCCGTACAACTTGACTTTGGCGATGGCCACGTGCCGCTCGATGGCGATGGCCAGCAGGCTGAAGACCGAGGCGGACAGCGTGATGAAGGCGGAGCCTTCACGCAGGAACCACTGCATGGGCGTGAGCCCCAGCGTCACGGGCCCCGACAGCAAGGTGTTGGCCACGAAGGCCACGCCGGCCAGCAGGTCCGAGGCGGCCAGGTTCCCCAGGAACAGGTACATGGCCGAGTGGAATTTGCTGTTTCGGCCCACGGCGATCAGCACCAGCAGGTTCTCCAGCACGATGGCGATGCACAGGAGGATGATGAGCGCCGAGGCCACCTGGCGGGACAGTGTGTCCTGCGTGTCCAGCGTCTCCTTCGTGTAGTTGTAGTGTTCCTGGACCTTGCCGGGGTTCAGGTACTCTGAGTACGGGGTGCCCATGATGGGGCTCAGCGGCCAGCCGGGGCCATGGGGCTGTCAGCGCTGTGGAGAAAAAAGGCAGCAGGTGGGGGTGGGGGTGAGGGCCCAAGTTCCAGCCCCAGGAGGGGAGGGGGAAAAGGGAGGGGAGGGGACACCCTATGAAAGACTCTGGGGCTAGAGGGATAGCACAGCAAAGAGGGCGCTTGCCTTGCACATGGCCAGCCCAGGTTCTATCCCGGACATCCAATGGGGTTCTCCCAAGCACTGTCAGGAGGAATCCGAGTGCAGAGCCAGGAGCCAGTCCTTAGCATTGTCAGATATGGTCCAAAAACAAATTAAAAAAAAAAAAAGACTTTGGGCCAGAGGATAGCACAGAGGGCAGGACACTTGCCTTGCATGAAGCCGACCCAGGTTCAATCCCCGGCACCCTATAGTGTCCCCTGAACACAGCCAGGAGAGATCTCTGAGTGCAGAGCCAGGAGTAACTCCTGAGCATCACTGGGTCAGGCCCCAGAAGGAAAACAAATGAACAAACAAGACTTTATTTAGAGCCCAAGATGTAGGACAGGGGTTAAGGCTCTTGCCTTGCACCAGGCTGACCCCCGTTCGATTTCTGGAACCATGTAGGGTCTCCAGAGCCCCACCGGAAATGAGGCCTGAGGGGAGCCAGAAGTAACCCTGAGCACATCCAGGTATAACTCCCCCAGAAAACAAAAACAAAAGCAGCCAGAGCCACGGAGATAACTCTAAGCACTGAAAACAGGCCTTGCCAATGGGAACTCCAGGGTCACTAATGAGCACTGCAAGGGATCAGCAAATAAAAGAAAAAAGACAGACAACAGGGCTGGAGAGATATAGCACAGCGGGTAGGGCGTTTGCCTCGCACGTGGCTGACCCAGGTTCCATCCCCAGCATCCCATATGGTCCCCTGAGCACTTCCAGGAGTAATTCCTGAGTCCATGAGCCAGGAGCAACCCCTGTGCATAGCCGGGTGTGACCCCCCCTCAAAAAAAAAAAGACAGGCAACGGGGCTGGAGCCATAGTCCAGCGGGTAGGGTGTTTGTCTTGCACGTGGCTCACCCAGGTTCAATTCCTGGCATCCCACATGGTTCCCCGAGCACCGCCAGGAGTAATTCCTGAGTGCAGAGCCAGGAGTCACCCTAGAGCATCACCAGGTGTGGCCCAAAAACAAAAAAACAACAGATGTACCAGTCAAGGGTAGAGTTGCTGCCTGGATTCTAGCCTGATTTAGTTATTTTTTTTGGGGGGGTGCCACACCCCAGGGTGCCCAGGGCTTATTCCTGGCTCTGCACTCACGAATTACTTCTGCTGCTGCAGAGATAGTACAGCAGGTAGGGCGTTTGTCTTGCATGTAACCGACCCAGGTTCGATTTCCAGCATCCCATATGGTCCCCTGAGCACCGCCGGGAGTAATTCCTGAGTGCAGAGCCAGGAGTAGCCCCTGTGCATCACTGGTGTGACCCAAAAAGAAAAAAAAAAAGAATTACTTCTGATGGTATTCAGGGGGGGCAAATAGGGCACCCAGGCGTGAACCCAGATCAGCCCAATGCAAGGCAAGTCCCTCCACCACTGTCCTCTCTCTCTAGCCCTCGCCCTTGGGTTCTGACCATCACCATCCTGGCAGCTTGGCAGGTGGCAAACCAAGCGAGTTCAATTCCCCTCCTGCATCTCCAAGCTAGTGGGCACCAAGGCCAAACAGCCCAGTGGTGGCACCTCCTATTGGCTCCTAAGGACCGGAAGTTTCCCCACAGGGCACGAAGGGCTGTCCATCGGGGTCCCTGAAGTCTGCCCCCCCCACCCCAGCCCGATCAAGAGAACCAACCTCTTTCTCCAGAACATAGATCTGCCGCCTGTCAACCGAGGTCAGCAAGATGCTGCAGCCGATACACACCCGCACGGCCCGTTCATTACCGCCCACTGGCCTGACTCTTAGGCTGGGGCTGGGCCTTGGGGCCACGGCGGCTGCTGGCCAGATAAGGTCTCCTCAGGGAGACAGCGGGGCGGCCCTGAGGTGCCACATCCCCGAGGTCACATCATCTTTAAGGACAGAGGCTTGAGCTGCAATCTCGGAGTTCAAGGCCACGTCAGCCCCTCTTCCCCAGAGGAAGGGGGTAAATCCGATGGGGTGACGCATGAGGCAGTCTCAACACACAGCAAACCAGCACCCCACACGGGCGTACCATGCTGGGGGAACTAGGTGCCCTCCACCTCATTTTGGGGAGGAGGGGGGGATGGATGATCATTGGCTTTCAGGCCAGCATCCCAACAGCCTGTTCTCATCAGCAGACAGCGGGGTCCCAGCAGACAGGGGGCAGGGAAGGCAGGGCCCTGGCACACACGCCCCTCCCCACCCAGGATGAAATCCAGATGTGAGGCCCCTGGAACAAACAGGGTGGAGTCCTGCATCCGGTGTGGGGGATGCCAGAGAGGGCTGAGGGCCTCCTGGGGAGTTCCAGGGACCGGTCCTGGCGGGAGGCACGGGGCAGCTGGGCTCCAGGCCTATTCTTGAGGGGCGGACTGGCCCATGGGGAGGGAAGGGGATGTTTGTTTCCATGGCATCCTGAGCACCCCACACCCTCTTCTAGGAAAATTGAGCCATGCAAAGGGGGGTTGGGGGGTGCGGGAAGAGGCGCGTGGGCAGAGAATCTGAGAAGCCGCTGGACGGCCTCGCTGAGGACTTGGGAAGGGATTCAAAGAAGCTGGTGGGGCGTCTGCATTTCTCCAGCAGCATGCAGGCGTTAGCTGAACTGAAAGAAAAGGGGGGGGAGCCCTCCCCAGGTGTCCGGGAAAGTGCCAAGAACCATGTGCGTGCATGCGCATCAGAAGCATGTTCCAGAAAAGGCTGGTTAGGCCGGTTCTTCGTGAGCCCGCGCGTGCTGGGGGGGGTGGGTGGCGGGGGGGCCTGGAGGGTACTGGCGGAGCCATCTGGGTCCCCAACCCTGTCGCCCCTTCAAAAGGGAGCCCTGGCCCCCAGCTCTACCGAAACAGCTACTCCCCCGGGGGGCGAAGGGACATCCGTCCTAGATTGGGAACAGAGAAGAGCCTTGTGAGCGTCCCCTGGGGCCGCCACCCCGCCCCAGATCACCACACAGAGGTCCCCTTGTTCCTCTGCCGGACAGGGCCCCGGGCAGCCCGGTGCCCTCTGCCTGATGCAGCCGCTCAGGAGCGGGCTGGACCTGCGCCTCCATCAGTTCCAGCCGGCCGGCTAGCCAGGTCCAAACAGCCTGCGCGCTGATTGGCTCATTTTCAATCTCGGCCTGCGCTATTTGCCTATCGGAGTGGAGCTTTGAGCCCTCGTGGCACTGGATTGGCTGTGAAGACCTTCCGCCCGCCCCTTTTGCAAGCGCGGGAACCCAGAGCCAAGTTAAGACCCGTGTGGGACGGTCCAAGGGGCTGAGTCGGAACCGTGACCTGCCCTCCGGGTCACCCCCATCAGACATTTCCCACCCCCAGCCAAAGGCTGCCTTGGCTTCCTCGGTTTTTCTTGGGGTTCCTGACTGAGAAGCGAGGATCCCTGAGGCACACATCCTGGTGGGAAAAATGGGGGGGTGGGGGGTGGGAGCGGCCCCTCCCGTCTCCCGCCCCGGCCATCAGCCCTCTCCACTCTGGCAGCCAAGAGAAAGATTTATGGGCGCTTCCTGCAGAAATAAGAAATGGGTTCGGCCCTCACATCCCGGGAAGTGTACAAAAAAAAAAAAAAGAAAAGCTTCGTGGAGGGGAATGAGGGGGGAATGAGCTAGCGGCCAGCGTGCTCCCTTTCTGCAAGGCGGTCAGAGCTGTCTCAAGAAGGGGAAACTGAGGCTCACTCACTCAAGTTCCTTCTGCTTAAAATTTTGCAAACGGTTTTGATAAATTAGAGCTTCCCAGAAGGGGGGAGAAGGCCGGAACCAGAGGTTAAGGCTGGCTGAGGAGTAACCCCAGATTCCAGCTACACAACCCAGGCTCCTCGCATTGGTTCCCTTCAACAGTTAGAAACCCTACACGCACATCCCACACCACACACACTAGTATGGGCCACTCAGCAACCAGGGAGAGTTTTAAATTTCTCTCTTCCAGAGAGAGTATTGGGGAAATTGTCTGCCATAGAGGCAGGGTGAGGACTGGGATGGGATGGGAGGGATACCGGGGAGTGGGATATTGGGGGTAAAAACGCACACTGATGGAGCGATGGGTGCTCCATCATTGTATGGCTGAAGCTCAAACATGAAAGCTTGTAACTGTATTGCACAGTGCTTCAATTAAAAAAATAACAATCTCTCTTTCTCTGGTGGCCAGAGAGACAGGACAGTAGATAGGGTGCCTGCCTTGCACGTGGTTGACCCGGATGCAATTCCCAGCTTTCGCACCGCCCTGTAGGGCCCCCAAATAAATAAATAAATAAATAAATTTCTCTCTTTTACACACACACACACCCCTTCCGACTTCTTCCACAGCTCCCCACTGCCCCAATGACTGGCCCACGACCCACCTTTCTTCTTGCTTTCCCCCAGGGCCCTGTGACTCCTGCCACTGTGCCCCTCCCTCTAAGTCTTGACACCTGCTGTTCCTTCTGCATGCCTTTCCTGCAAACCCCATAATGGGATCTCTCCTCTCCTCCCCATCTCAGGATTCAGTCTAAAAGTCTCTGGATGGAGTTGGGGGCCGCCTGTGGCTGGCCACCCACAGAACCCCTCCCCCAGGCACTCCGATCCCCCCATCTGGCCTTATTCTCACAATGCGTCTGTTAGGGAGTCTGCCATTTTTCCGGCCCTGGAATGACGCCCTGGTGCTCAGAACGTGTGGATGGATGGATGAGTGGGTGGAGGGGTACAAGAAGAACGGATAGACGAAAGGGTAGATGAGTGAATGGATGGATGGATGGATGGGGGGACAGATAGGTATCAAACAACGCCCCGGTGGGCACCCCCTTCTCAAGGTGGACGCTCCTAAACTCAGCCTGGCTCACAAATCAGCAGAGGATGGAGATACCACTGGTCCAAGACGACCCCCCCCCCCGCCCCCGCGGGGAGAAGCGCAATGCATCACCATGGAGACGCGACAGGACCCGCCCCGCCCTCCGGCGCACTCTTGGGCCTCCTTATCTGGCCGTGGAATGCGCGGTATCCACTGCCCGGCCGCGCCTCCTCTGTCCCGCGCCGGCCACGCACACGAGGCCCCCGCGTCTGCTAACAGCGGCTGGGGAGCTGCCTCTCCGTCCCGCCGGGAGCCCCGCTGGGGTCTTCCCGGGACGTGAGACAGGATGGAGGAGGGCAGGAGAGAGTCAGCAGCCGTCGGGGCATTCGGGGCACACCGCGGGCTCAGCGCGCGGCCGTGGACGAGGGGCAAAGCGGGGGCAAGGGGTGGAAATCCCCGGGTGAGTCAACTAGTGCGCGAGGAAGGGGGGCCCCGGGGACTCCGCGGGGTCTGCAAGCCCCAAGCGCCCGCGCCCACGCCCCATGCCGGGCCCCAAGGGAAAGGGGGTGCCAGGAATCGCGCGTTCACTTTCCCTTTCCCTTCCAGAACAGCCAAGGCCCCGCGGGAAAGGGGGCAGGAGGGTGCGTGCAGACGGGGAGACTGAGGCACGGGCCGCGCGCGCAGACGGGGGGTCTACTGCCCGGCCCCCGAGGCTCCGCCCCTTGGCCGCGAGCTCTAGCCCGACCCTGCCAGGGGGGGCGCCCTCCGATCCCCCACACCCGCTCCCCGGGCCCCCGAGCCCGGTGCCCACCGTATTCCCTCCCTCCGATTCCGTCTCCTCCGCGGCGCCAACTTCCTGCCGCCGAGAACGGCGGGGAGCGCAGCCCCGGGGTGTGGGGGTGCACGGCCAAGACGGTGGGGGCTGCCTGGAACCGCGGGCAGGGAGCCCGGGCGCGGCGCCCTCCGTGCAGCAGGAGCGGGCGGCGGGCGGGGGCGCGGCCCCGACCCCTGCCGGCGCCCCCACCCCAGCCCCGATCCCGAGACTCCAGGGGCGCCGGGGCCCGCCCTTCCAGCCGGCCCCGGCCACGCGCGCTCACCTGGCTCGGCCGGCCCGGGTCCCTGCCCTGGCTGGAGGGGGCCTTGGCTCCGGCGTCCCCGGGACGGCCGCGGCTGGGGCTGCCCGCCGGGCTCCGCTGCGTCCCGGGGCTGGGGACCGGCGACGGATGGGGGGCGGGGAGAGGCGCCGCCTCGGCCCCCCGCTGGCCCCGCCCCGCTCTCCTCCCCTTTCCGGCGGCGGCGGGAATGAATTCCAGATGTGGCCAGCCGGGGCGCGCGGGGGCCGGCGTGGGAGGTGCGCAGGGTCCCTTTGTCCGCAACCCCCACCGCCCGCCCGACCCCGCCCAGCCCCCACCCGTGAGAACCGGCCCGGCGTGACGTCACGCGGGTCCGTGACGTCACGTCGCTCCTGGCCAGGTGAGCTCGCGCTCAGCCCATGCCCGACAACTGACGACTCCAACTTAGGCAGAGGGGACTGGAGAGACAGGAGGGTGCTAGCCTTGCACGCGGCCTACCCGGGTTCGCTCCCCGACACCCCACAGGGTTCCCGAGGCCGCGCCTGAGCACAGAGCCAGGAGTAAACCCGAGCAGCAAGGGACGTGGCCCCCCAACCCCTGGAAAAAATGGAGTCAGAATATTGGCCTAATTCGGAATCACGAGGGAATGGAGCACCCCCCCCCCCGCCATCCCTAAAGGGACGGGGTCCACAGCTCAAGGGTTAGGCGCGCCCACCCCCCCACCCCCGGGGCTTTACCCAAACCGTGTCCGACCCGAGTTTGGACTCAAGTATCCGTACACTTATTTCCCCGCAGCTCATTGTTTGTATTATTTATTTAAGTTTTGCACTTTGGGTACGCAACTGGCTACCACTCCTGGCTCTGTGCTCGGGGATGGGTCCTGGCCGGGCTCCCGGCATCCTATGTGTTGGGCCTGGAATTGAACCCACTCTGCCATAGCCAAGATGAGCACCTTACAGGCGCCACTATCTCCCTGGCTCCAGGTGCAACTTTGTTTGTTTTTGTTTGGGGGCCACACCCAGAGGTGCTCAGGGCTAACTCCTGGCCCAGGGCCTCAGTAATCATTCCTGGTGGTGCTCAGGGGAACTATCTGGGGTGCTGCGGATCAAACCTGGACCAGCTGCATGCAAGGCAAGTACCCTACCCATTGCCCTACCACTGCATCCCCACAACTTTTTTTTTTTTTGGCTTTTTGGGTCACACCCGGCGATACACAGGGATTATTCCTGGCTTTGCACTCAGAAATTACTCCTGGCGGTGCTCAGGGGACCATATGGGATGCTGGGAATCGAACCCGGGTCGGCCGCGTGCAAGGCAGATGCCCTACCCGCCTATCGCCCCAGCCCCCCGACTTTTATTTTTTTTACACCTGGTGTGCTTGGGGCTACAGGGTCGCTCTGGCCATGCTGGGGATCACGCTGCTCCCCTGAATTGAACCTGGGGCTTTACTCTGTGCCAGCTCGTAGACTTACGGTATCTGCCCCGCCTCAGACACACTTCAGCAGTGGGAGAGATGAGGGCACAGAGCAGATCCTGCTCCCTGAGCCCAGAGAGAGGATGTTCTGGGGCTTGTGTGCGGCCAGGAGGAGCACTGCAGGAAGATGAGGAGCACTGCAAGAAGATGAAGCATGCAAGTTTCCTGGGAGAGGAAGTAAAGGAGGTGGCCACCCAGCACAGCCACTGTGCGCGCCACTGTGCCTTTGGGTATCAGTGGAGTGTGTGCACTCGTGCTCTTCTAGTCTCAGGCAGGCCAAGAAACCCACAAAGGAGAGGTGGGTGCACGCGGCTGCCTGGATAGCATGCTTCAGTATAACGTGGCGGGGGCTGAAGCGATAGTACAGGGGGAGGATGTTTGTCTTGCACACGGCCCTCCCAGGTTCTAACCCTTCACATCCCATATGCTGCCCCCCCCCCAGCACTGCAGGAATAATTCCTGAGTGTAGAGCCAGGAGTAACCAAGAGATAGTGCAGGACTTAACACACTTGCCTTGCATGCGGCCAACCCAAGTTCAATCCCCGGCACCCTCTAGGGTCCCCTGAGCACCATCAGGAGTGGTCCTTGAGTACAACCAGGTGCAAAAAACTGTTTGGCTGAAGAGACAGTACAGGGTATGAGGCACTTGCTTTGAATTCGATCGCAGGAACCTCATAACAGTCCCATGAGAACCACCAGAAATGACCACTGAGGGGGCCCAAGCAATGGTACAGTAGGGAGGATGCTTGCCTTGCACGTGACCAACCCGGGTTCCATCCCCGGCATCCCATATGGTTCCCCAAGCACTGCCAGGAGTAATTCTGCCTCTGAGAGCAGAGCCAGGAGCAACTCCTGAGCACCACCGAGTGTGACCCAAAAAGTCGGGGGGGGGGGGAATGACCCCCAGGCACAAAGGCAGGAATAGCCTCTGAGCAGTGCTGGGTGTCACCCAACACAGCCCCCTCCCCGTACAAAAATAAAGGGTGAAAGATGGCTTTGTACACAGGAGGCTTGGGTTAGAGCGCTAGCAAAATCCTGTGAGCACTGCCAGGAGAGACCCTCAAAATATGAAAATGGAAGTCGTTTCTGGGTGTTGGGGAGTGGCATCCAAAGCCACAAATAAACAGGGCAGGGTCAGGGGCCTGTTCGCGGGCTGAAGGATTCTTTGCTTGGGGCCCTGAGCTGCACCTGGAGCAGACAACAACCACAGAGTGAGGAGTGGCCCCCAGTACAGGAGGGTGTGGCGCCCCCAGGCCAAATCAAAAGAAACAAGGGGAAAGGGGTGGGGTGAGGAAGGCTCCATGGAACTGAGGGCCGGTTTTGCCTGCAGGAGACCTAAACTCCATCCCCAGAGCACAGGATTAGTGACCCCTGAGCACAACCAAGTGTGGGCCCCTGCCAAAAAAAGTGTTGAGGGTCACAGTGGATGCTAACCTTGCACACAGTTGGCCCAGCATCGGTCTCCAGCTTCCTATAGAGTCCAGCAAGGCTCACCTGGAGTGATACCTGAGCTCAGAGCAAGGAGAGAGAGGGAGAGATGGAGGGGAGAGAGAGGGAGAGAGAGAGAAAGAAAGAAAGAAAGAAAGAAAGAAAGAAAGAAAGAAAGAAAGAAAAGATTTAATGCATTGGTTGCTGCATTTTGAAAAAATATATTTTCTGATTGGGGGGGCTGCACCTGCAGTGCTCAGGGCTTACTCCCGACTTTGTGCTCAGTAATTGTTCCTGGCAGTGCTCGTGCAATCCTTGGGATTCCAGGGATCAAACAAGTCAGCCGCGTGCAAGGCAAACACCCTCTCCGCAGTCCTGTGGCTTCAGGACCCGTGGCTGTTGCATTTCGTAGTCTATCTATAATGACTGAATAAATACACATTCGCCTTGGACTCCCGGCCTGTACCAGGATGAGGTATGTCACAGAGGTTAGTCACCTCTCAGGGCGCTGGGGACAGGGGGACAGGTGGGAGGGGCCAGACCCCTGGGGGCAGGTTGGACCTTGTGAGCTGGTGTAAATGTGAAGCCATAGAGCAGCAGGGAGGACGGACGCTTGCCTTGCAGGGTTCGATCCCCAGCATCCCATAGGGTCCCCAGAGCACTGCCAGGAGTGAGCCCTGAGCCCAGAGCCAGGAGTAAGCCCTAAGCCCAGAGCCAGGAGTAAGCCCTAACCAAATGAAACAAAACTAACTAAGAGGTTGCAGGGTTAGTTCCATGCTGGAGTCCTGGGTTCCTGTGATCCTCCAAGCACCGTTTGGAGAAACCCTGGGCTCAAAGGAGCTGGGAGTGGCCCCTGGGTACCCCAAGTCCCCTGAAAAGGCAGCAGTGACCGGAACCCACAGAAAGCAGCTCCTATAGTCATAGAAGTCATGGATAGCATCATGGTCATAAATGCACAACACTGTTATCAACTCAGTTGTAAACTGAGCAGGGTTAAATAACGACAAACATGATAGTTATTATTCAAGAGCTTCATATTAACAGGTGTATAGTCGAGAGAGATAGCGCATCAAAGGGACACTTGCCTTGCACGTGGCCCACCTGGTTCGATCCCAGCACTATATGGTCCCCTGAGCCCCACCTGGAGTGATGCCTGAGCACAGACCCAGGAGTAAACCCTGAGCATCACCAGGTGTGGCCCCAAAACCCAAAACCACAACAATAGCAAACGTCTCCCATGAACAAGTGAGCACAAGTGCTGGAGACAGACCAGGGTGTGATAAAATACTTGCTGGGCACACGGTCCACTTCGGTTCAATCCCCGGCACCCCTTAGGATCCCCCAGTCCCCACCAGGAGTGATCTCGGGGCGCAGAACCAGGACCACGCCCTGAGCATTGACAGTTGTAGCCCCCTAAAAGAACAAAAACAAGAGAAAACAGAAGCCAAGGTGACAGCTGAGCTGTGTCTAGCATAGGTAACTGGTAGGAACTGGAGAACATGCCCCCCCCTGCATGACGCAGTTCCTTTTTCCAGTCGGGGCTGGGTCAGATCCTGGAGTCCCCGCGGAATGGGGGTGGGGGGCACCTCTGGGAGCAGGTGCTCCGCCCATAGGTTAGTTGTGGGCCGCAAGAAGCCTTAAGAGAGAGTGAGCGGAAATCTCCACCCTCCGCGGGGGATCTGAAGGCTTGGGGAGGAAGTGACCCCCTCAACTTGCCTGGGCTGGCTCAGCAGTTTGCCATTCCCCCAGGGACCCGGGGGGGAGGGGGGCAGGTCAAGGCCACAGACACATCCGGTTGTCTGTTGGCGGGACCGACCGACCGGGGCTCCCTGACAAAGGTGATGTCCCATGGGAGCTGTGTAGACACCCGCGGAGCCACTTCCGCCTCCCCCCAGCCCCCAACTTCTGCGTCTCTGCCAGGTCAGCTAAGGGAACGATGGCAGACTGGAAAAGTCTGGAACCTTCTGGAACCTTCGATGACTTCCCGATGGTTGGAGGGGTGGGGGTGTTGGGGCAGTGCCAGGAGAATTCGGGGCCTGCCTTAGGTGGTGGTAGTGATGGGGGGGACGGCACTTAAAGAGGGGAAGAGGAAGGAAACCGGGGCCCTTTTCTTGGGGACCTCCCAGGCAGGGGTAACAGAGGAAAAGGAAGAGGCTGGGATGGGCCTCCACTAATTATAGGGCTCGGGACAATAATGGCTCCGAGATGGGGTGGGTGCGGCTCTGCTCCGGAACCCTGCATGCACCCCGCACCCCGGGGAGCTGGAGGCGAACCCCTGGCCCCCCGCCACCATCTTCACCTGAGAGTTCACTATCTGAAAACAGTTTTGGGGGTTGCAGCGAAAGGAGAGCACTGAGGCCCCAACTCCCCTGCGAGCACGTGCATGCTCCCCCATCCCCACCTTGTGCATT